AAGCAGGATCTCGAGGAGATATTTGCACACCCATGTTCATAGCAGCAGTGATATTCATAAGAGCTAAAACATGGAAGCAACCCAAGTGTCCATCAACAGATGAGCAGATAAGCAAAATGTGGTCTATACCTATAATGGAGTATTATTCAGCCTTAAAAAGGAAGGAGATTCTGACATGTTACAATATGGATGAACCTTGAGGACATCACGCTAAGTGAAATAAACCAGTCACAAAAAGACAAATACTGCATGATTCTACTCATAGGAGGTATCTACAGTAGTCAAAATCATAGAGACAGAGAGTAAAATGGTGGTTGCCAGTGGGGGGTGGGGAGGGGAGGGGTCGGTAGGGGACAAAGTAGGGAGGTGGGGAATTATGTTTAATGGTATAGAGTTTCAGTTGTACAAGATCAAAAGAGGTATGACGATAGATGGTAAAAACAAACACACAATACACACACAATACACATACACACACACACACACACGCAAAACCTAATATAACCTACTGTGAAGAGTGTACGCTGTTCCACTTACAGAGAGCATGGCAGCATAGGGAAAGAAAAGCCACAAGTTGCTACATCAGGACCAAGCAGGGCCCATGAGGCTAGTGCCCAAGGCAGTGGTGAGACGGGGTTGAGCAGTTACAGCCTGCACAACGAATCAGTGCCACCATTCCAGAAAATCTTAACTGGAAGAGCTTTGCAGAGTCATCCATCCAGGCCTCATGGTACAAATAAGGCAACGTCTTGAGTCCCACTGTGGTGGCAAAAAAGACCAGAATTCTCAAGACTGATCTGGTCCCATCACACACTGGCTACACCTTGGCCACAGATGCACTGGTCACCTGGCAGTCCATCCACACCTGTGAGCCTCAGCATCCTCTTTGGGAGCCCTCAGTCCTCACCAATCCAGGGTCCCTGCTCCTAACCAGCTGGCTGACATGGCCACTGATGAGACCAACCTGTTGACCAATTCCTGTCATTGTTTTCACTCTGCACAGCTACTTCAGTGAATCCAGGGCCTCTGGGAGGTGATAAACATCTCCATTCCTCCCCAGGTTCTCTGACCAACCCCAGAAAGATGTAGGGGTAAGCAACAAATATTTAATTGCATAAGACATCAGATATTAAATTGCTCCTGAAATAATTTAAAATCCTAAAACAAAACTTACATTGAGGGACTTCCCTGGTGGTGCAGTGGTCAGGAATCTGCCTGCCAATGCAGGGGACACTGGTTCGAGTCCTAGTCCGGGAAGATCCCAAATGCCACGGAGCAACTAAGCCCGTGCGCCACAACTACTGAGCCAGCGCTCTGGAGCCCATGAGCCACAACTACTGAAGCCTGCACGCTCTAGAGCCCGCATGCCGCAACTACTAAACCCGCATGTGGCAACTACTGAGGCCCACACTCCTAAACCCCGTGCTCTGCAACAAGAGAGGCCACTGCAACGAGAAGCCCGCGCACCGCAACGAAGAGTAGCCCCCACTCGCCACAACCAGAAAAAGCCCGCGCGCAGCAACGAAGACCCAACGCAGACAGAAAAAAAAAAAAACCTACGCTGAAAGGACCAGTAGTACTAGGATGACAGACCTGGCTCTGTCTGGGTTTTGGTTAGAGGCTCTGGGGCCACAGGATGCTGGGGACACATGTCAACTGAGCACCAATGGCCACCAGACTGCAAGCAGAGTCCTGTTCTGGGTAGGATGTGCTCTGGTCCCCAATCTACACTCATCTATGGCTCCTGGTGTCCATGACACTAAGATCAGGGGTGCAGACCAGGTGACTTCCTTCTGCCCTGATGAGTAATAATCCACCTTGCCCAGGAAAAGGGAGAGAGCTGGAGCGAGGAAGACATCTGGCTTCTAAAGGCATTTAAAATGATGCAGATGAGAAAATATTGACATGGTATTAAGTAAAACTGTATAGACAGCTTGAACTCAAACACGCCAAGTAGATACATACCCTACGGTTAAATGAAAGGCAGGGAAGAGGCCACGAGATTATGCTCTGTGGTCATCTCTCTGCGGTGGGATTGTGGTGGTTATTCTATTCTTTATTCTTTCCTCTATTTATCAGATATTCAAAATTAACATTTATTAAAAGAAAAAAAGGCGTGCCTCTTTTTCACTCTAAAATCCGGCTGCAGGGTCAAGCCTGGAAGTGAAAATTGTCTTTTGCAGGCCTAATTCCTTTCCCGGGAAAACCCAGATAATAGCTATGCACCGAATGGGATAACAGACCAGAGTCCACCAAAATGTTTGGGGCACTTCCAAACTGTTGTAGAAAAATACTGTTACTCTCGCTCCTGATCTGGGTGTTTAATATTTCACACAGATAGACATAATATCGCTGACAAGGATATGAAGGAGGAAAAGTAAGGATTTAAGTCTATTATCAGACACTCTGGCAGGCTCCCACTCTGTCACCACTCCCAGCAGAGCAGGAGTGTTACTACTGAAAGATACATTCACAGCTGGGGCTAAAGGAGATCCAGAACATAACTGTGGCTCATGTGGCCCTGAACCCAACACGACACAAACACACCCAAGAACCCAACTCAGACACACACACCAGGAGCCTATACGCATGTCCTACACACACACCCAGGCCCAATGTCTGCGCACACAATGCAGAACTCAACATGAACACACACGTGCACAGAACCCTCCAGGTGCACACATGCCCCAAATACAAATAACATGCACACTCATCCCTAAGACCCAACACAGGCGCACACCCCTCAGAAAGGTACACACACCTTTCAGACCCAGCATGGACACACACACACCCCTGAGAGCCCAATGTAGGCACTCACACTCTTCAAAACCCAGCACGGCAACAGACCCCTCAGAACTGATCGTGCACACACATCCTTCAGAACCCAAAACGGGCACAAACTGAAGACCCAACACGGGTGAACACACCCCTCAGAACCCAATTCAAGTGCTCACACACCTCATATACCACACAGGTACACACGCCACAACCCAACAGACACACAACCCTCAGACCCAAGAAAGGTACACGTTCCCCTCCTACCCGACATGGGAGCAGACCCCTCTGAACTCACCTGGTACACGACCATCAGTTTTAACACCAGCACACACACAACCCTCAAAACCACCAGAGACAGACAACCTTCAGAACCCAACACACATACACACCTCTCAGAGTCCAAACAGGCACACATACCCTCAGAACTCAAGACAGGCGTGCACGTGCGCACACACACACACACACACACCACTCAGCACCCAACATGGAGGCATACACCCTTCAGAAACCAGCGGGGTACACGCTCCTCAGACTCATACGGGAACACACTGCTCAGAACCCAACACATGCAGAGACGCCCTTCAGAGCAGACACACACCCTCAACACCCAACACAGACACACCACTGAGAACCACTCAGACACATAACCCACAGACACAACATGAACACACACACCCGAGAACCAACAAGGACTCCACTCCTCAGACTCCAACACACACAAACATGCCTCAGAACCAACACAAACACATACGCCTTAGAATTAACATGGACACACGTAACCCTCAAACACAACACAGGCACACAGCCCTCAGAACCAAAATGAGCACATAACCCTCAGAATCAACACATACACACACCCCTCAACACAACTGAGGAAACACACCCTTCAGAACCCACCATGGGCGCAGACACAGCCCCAGACTCTACACAGGGGCACACACACAACTCAGACCCAACAGGGATAAACACATCCGGGATCAACACAGACACACACCACTCAGACCCAATACAGACACACACCCTTGAGAAGCCACACAGGCACAAACCTCTCAGAGCTGAACACGGGAAGACACAGCCCTCAGGCCTAACATGGGAGCAGATCACTCGGACACCCGAGAACCAACGCGGACACAACCACCCTTAGACCCAGGTGCACAACCCCCAGAACAGAAATGGGCATACACACCCTCCAGCACCCGACTCAGAAACACACACTCCTCAGAACCAACGCAGAACCAAAACCGACAGGTACACCCCTGAAAACCGACAATGACAAAACAAGCCTCACACCCACAGGTACACACAGCCCTCAGAACCCAACGTGAGCCCACACGACACTCAGAACCAACACGGACAGACACAACCCTCAGAAGCCAGCGAGGGAGCAGACCCTCTACGTAACCCAAACACACACCCCTCAGAACCAACATGACACACAGCCCGTAACTAACGCAAGTGCACAGACCCCTTAGAACCCAAGACAGGTGCAAAGCACACCCTAGAACCCAACACGGGCACACACGCTCCTCAGAACCTTCATGGACACACGACCAGCGGACCCTACACAGGCACACATACCCCTCCGAAGCCAGACACACGCAACACTAAGAACCCAACATGGCCGCACCCACCCCTCAGACCCAACGTTGGAGCAAACACACCCTTCATAACCAATATGGACACACACCCCTCAGACCCAACATGGTAACACCGCACACACACGAACACGCGCACACGCCCCTCAGATTCAACTCGACACACCTCCCTTATAACCGGAAAGGACACACAACCCTCGGACTGAACACTGGCACACACACCTCTCAGAAGCCGAGCCAGCAATACACACCCCTTCAAACGCAACCACGGTCAGACCCCTCAAAACCCAACAGGCACACACTCCTCACACCCAACACAAGCGCACAACCCCCGCAGAATTCAAACAGGCAGACAGCCCTCAGACCCAACGCGGGAGCAGACCGCTCGGAACACAACCCAGACACACACCCTCAGAACCCGACACGACACACTCACCAACGCGGCGCGCACCCGCCCAGAACCCCCCAGACACAAACCGCTCAGACTCAACCAGACCACAGCCCTCACGCCCGACGGGCGCACGCACTCCGGGGACACGGCGGGCACGCGGCCCGCGCGCCGAGGAAGCGTGGCTCGCGCGGCCCCCTTGCGGCCTCTCCGCCGCCTGCGGCCCCTCCGCCCCGCACCTGGCGCAGCGCGGCCTCCGCGGCGCCGCCGTCCCGCTGCCGCAGCTGCTCCCGGAAGCGCGCCACCTGCTCCAGCAGCGCGTCCACGAGCGACGGCGCCGTGTCCCCCTCGAGCGCGGCCAGACGGGCGCGGAGGCGCGCTATGAGGACGTCCCGGGCGGCCAGCTGGTCCTGCAGGCGCCTCAGCCTCTGCCCCGCCTCGTGGTACAGGCCGCAGAGCGCGGCAGCGGCGCGCGGGGCGCCCTCCCGCCCGCCAGACCCCGCGTTCCCAGACGACATGGCTGCGGGCCTGGCCGACCGGGTACTGACCACCGGCAACTTCCGCGCCGGGCCTGGGCGGGAGGCCCACCTTCCCGGAACTTTTCCCGGCGCGCCCCGCCCCCCGCGGAGATCCCGGGCCCGCCCGCCCCGCCGAAAGGCCAGGCCCCGCCCCCCCGCCGAAAGGCCAAGCCCCGCCCCCCGCCGAGAAGCCAGGCCCTGCCCGCCGCCGGGAACGTGGCCCCGCCCCAGTCCTATCCCGCCCGCGGCCCGCGGCCTCTCCGCCCGCGGGTGACTGGCGTGTCCCACCGGCCCCATCGCCTCGAGTCGGGGAGCTTTCGGAGACTCGGGCCCGGGCGAGGAGGGGGGTCAAACGGCCTGCGATGTAGTTACTGATGGAAGGGAAAGAAGGGGCCAAAGACGACCCCAAGTGTTAGTCCCGAGCGTAGGTCCGAATCCCCGGGCTGCAGGCCGGCTGGCCACGCCGAGCACCAGGAAAACGGCGACCTTCCACGAGCTGAGCCCAGCGAGGCGCTGAGCATGCTCAGACCCCGCATCCCCTCTCTAAGGTCGCAAGAGCTATTCTTAGGGCGGAAGGCAGGAGGGAGCTGGCCCTTTCCCGTCCTCGTTTCTCCATCCCTTTCCTTCCCCCCAGCTCCCCAGACCAACTCCGAGGGTTTTTCCGTGGCTCCACGGCTATTTTCTTTTTCAAAGTCTGAGTGTCCTCGGCAATGATGCCCAAGCACACCTGTGATCTTTCAAAGGTTCCCTCCCACAGACTCCTCTGCCGGCCCCTACCCAGAGCTGCCCTCCTCGCCAGATCCCCTGAGAGCAGCATGGCGTTTTTTCCCATTTTTGTAACCCATACCAAGCTTGGGCTGAGCCCGGGGAGACACCCGCAGGCTGGTAGAATCAGACAAGTATAAGCGAAGACAGCTCACACTTCCTCCGCTGCAGAGGGAAGGTCAAAGGCAGTTGCCCTGCTTACCCCATAGGTGTGCTGTAGGGATTAGAGGATGGAGTGCAGAGTTCCTGCCCCTGCGAGCCCACAGTCCACGTGACTAAGGTTAGGAATGACACACTCTTGTTGGCTGGAGCAGTGATGGAGAAAACCAAGTAGCACTGGCCCCAGAGCCGTTAGAGATAGGTGAGTTGTCATTGCTATTGATGTAAGTGTAACCTCCCACATGTCACTCAACTGCCCTTGAACCTGGTTCTTACCTGTAAAATGGGCATCCCAGTCTCTCCTCTAACATTCTGGGGGTCACACGTACTTCGAAATTCAGAATCTTTGGATTTGAGATAGGTACATATGATTGGGGTCGCCAACATCCAGAAAGGATCCACTCCTGGGATTCATGCTCCTGTGATCTCACCCTCTGACACAGTGAATAGGGCTGACCCGTGTAAGCAAGAGGATACTGCAGAAATGATGGAGTGATTTCCGCAGCTGGGTCACAAAAGACATTGCCTCGCCCTCTCTTAGATCGTCCCCTCTGGGGGGAAGCCACCCGTCGTATCGTGAAGACACTCAAGTAGCCCTGTGAAGAGGTCCATGTGATGAGGACATGAGACTTCATGCCGGTAGCCAGCATGAACTTCCCCACCATAGTAACTGAGCTACCTTGGGACCACCCCCAGCACACATCTTAACCGCGACCTCATGGGAAACCCTGGGCCAGAAGCACCCAGCTAAGGTACTTCCACGCTCCTGGCCCACAGAAGCTGTCTGACATAATAAATGTTTATTGTTTTAAGCTGCTAACATTTGGAGTCGTTTTTTACACAGCAATAGGCAACCAGCAAATAGTATATTGCTCAGTGCTCCCACTGGGGCATTGGACAGCACCCCAAAACCAGACACATTAACATTGCTGCAAAGACAGGATGACCATTCAAACTAAGTGTGATAAAGACCATGAAAAGCCTTACAGCTGTTCAAGTCAGATGTCGACCCAGTTTGAGAAAAACATTTTGGGTTTCTGAGCTTTTTGGATTTCAGAATTATGGATGAGGGATGGCAGAATTCAAACAACATCTGCTTTACAGGACATTGTGAGGATTCGGTAAGTTAAGGTAGGAAGTACCCAACATGCCTGTGCCTTCAACTAATATCCAGGGACTGAATCAAGCACGGGGTTAATGGGCAAACAAACATTCTAGGGGCAGAGACAGACCTCCCTTCAAAAAAAAAAAATTACACGATAAGGAAACTTTGTATAGGAAAGAAAGGGGGTAAAAATTCTTTAAGAAAAGAAATAAATGAATCTTGGGACTTCCCTGGTGGTCCAGTGGTTAAGAATCCGCCTTCCAATGCAGGGGACGCAGGTTCAATCCCTGGTCGGGGAACTAAGATCCCACATGCCTTGGGGCAACTAAGCCTGCGTGCTGCAGCTACTGAGCCCCTGTGCTCTGGAGCCTGTGCACCACAACTAGAGAGAAGCCTGCACTCCGCAACAAAGAGCCCACATGCCACAACAAAGATCCCACATGCCTCAACTAAGACCCATTGCAGCCAAATCAATCAATCAATCAATATTTTTCTAAAGTAAGCAAAGGGGCTTCCCTGGTGGCTCAGTGGTTAAGAACCCGCCTGCCAATACAGGGGACACAGTTTCGAGCCCTGGTCCGGGAAGATCCCACATGCCGCGGACCAACGAAGCCCATGCCCGACAACTACTGAGCCCGCATGCCACAACTACTGAAGCCCGCGCACCTAGAGCCTGTGCTCTGCAACAAGAGAAGCCACTGCAATGAGAAGCCTGTGCACCGCAACAAAGAGCAGCCCCTGCTCGCCACAACTAGAGAAAGCCCATGCACAGCTACAAAGACCCAACGCAGCCAAAAATAAATAAATAATTTTTTTTTTTTTTTAAGTAAGCATATAAGAGGCTTAGGAGGAGAAACAGGACGATGGGACAGAAACAGAGAGGAGGGGACTCTCAGCTGCAACCAGAATGATGAGAAGGAGCCCACACAGAATTGAGTCAGTGGGTCCTGAGCAGAGGGAGGACACGTAAGTCGGCCTGGCGGGGAGTGCTGGTGCTGACGCCCTAGACTGCGGCCTAGGGTGGGCAGGGAGGGGGTAGGGGCCAGATCTGGAGGGGTCAGGCCCTACACAGAGGTTGGGTCTTATTCTAAGAACAGTGAGAACCACAGGGTTTCCTGCAGAGGTGACCAGGAAGGAGGGAGAGGGGTGAAAAGTACAGGAAGAGACTGGGGATGAGTTGCTTCTTCAACTCTGGTTCCTCCCCTGATGGAAAACTACTAAATATAAATTCCTCCAAAATTCTCCCTCCCCTGGCGTCTTACTTTGGGTCCTATCGGGGCCTGCGGCCTTTTCCTGGCCTCCTTCCCCCACTTTGTCTGGATATTGGGACTTCAGCCCTTGCTGTGATCAGCCTCTGGAAGCAGCTGTGCCAAGAAGCAGGTGGTGGAGGGGCCAGGGGCCTCCCCAGGAGCCAAGCCCATCCACTGAATAGTAGCCAGTGAGGTTGACCCCTGGCACACCTATGCCGGCAACCACTCTCACACATGCATGTACCTGCTGTCATGTTCCCCTACCCAGCTCTTCCCTTCTATGGGTCCCAAGGTATTCACAATGCAAAGTTCCCAGTTGTAGGAAAGTGAATGGATTAGTCAATTCAGGCTGCCATAACAAAATGCCACAGACAAGGAGACTTAAACAACAGGCATTCATTTTCTCACAGTCTGGAAGTTGGAAGTTCAAGGTGCCAGCAGGTTTGGTCTCTCCTGAGGCCTCTCTCCTTGGCTTGCAGACAGTTGCCTTCTTGCTGTGTCCTCACAGGGCCTCTTCTCTGTGCACATCCCCAGTGTCTCTCTTCTTACAAGGACACCAGTCCTATGGGATTAGGACCCACCCTTATGATGTCATTTAACCTTAATTACCTCTGTAAAGGCCATACAACCAAATACAGTCACAGTGGGGGTTAGGGCTTCAACATATGAATTTGGGGTGGGGGTGGGGGACACAATTCAGTCCCTAACAGAGAGGTTGCTGCTGAGTAGCACAAAGATTTTTTTAGTAAGGTCTCTGACATATGAAGGTATGTCCCCTCTGCCCTTGGAAGAGGTGGAACACAGAGAAGGACTAGGGGACAGAGGGTGGTCCTGGAGAGCCTGGGTGGAGCCCGTTCCAGCTCCTGTATGGAACTGACATACCTGCCATGGCAAATGGAAGAACAAGCAAACCTCAGTCTCCCAAGTGTCTCCACACCTTCCCAGCCAAGACGGCACAAGTGATGAGCTGTTCCACTGGGTACTCTTTTTACCGTTTGCTTTTTGTGTGTGATGTCCTTGCTTCTGGTGCACTGGAGCATTAGAAAGAGCACCAGGTTGAGGAAAGAGTCCTCAGTTCTAGGGGCAGCTTGGCCACTGCCCACCATTCTTACCCTCTCTGTGAGTTGGCCTCCCAGTCCAGCCACTTTCTCCGACCCTCTCCAACTCCTCACCTGCTACCCAGGTTCTCCTACGTCCAGAACCAAATCCACTGTCCTTCCTCAGATAACCTGAGACAAAGATATGAGAAGCCTGCTCCACAAAGGGACCCAGAGTGAAGCTGGGTGGGAGCTGATACAGGGAGCATTGGATTTCCACATCCTACACCTCTGCGGTGTTTGGATTTGTGCAGTAAAGCGTCAACTCTGCAGGTTTGTTGTGTTCAAACCCTGTTCACTCCAAAGAAAAAACTGCCCCCCCCCCGTTTTTAAACAACAAAATATATTTTACTTAAAAATTACCCACCAATAAACTTTCTTTTGTACATCAGAAGTAATGGATTAATTACTGTTAACCTAAAATAATAAAAGTAAGTTATTTTTACCAGTAAAATGGGTTTACTCATGAGCAGCAAAGAATTGCAATTCAGGATACGCAACTATGGCAAACCACATGCGAGTCTAGTAAAACAAAGGAAAGGACACTCTTTTATAGAGGAGAAGGGGAAGTTGGGAGGGGCTGTTCTAAACAAGCAGTCCATTGGAGGGAACTGGGAGTTCAAAGTAAAGTGACTTTTCATTGGCTGA